TGTGATTTGTGACCCATTCACTGTCCCTTTAAGTAATCTACATTGATCAGACGTGACGTCAAACAGGAAACTGTCGCATTCCGGTTGTCTGTAACACTTTAATCCACACAGTCCTTGGTTCGATGCGTCCGTGTCCAGGAGAATAAAAAGTACGTCACCAGTGGATCCAAGTTTGGCTCCCCAGCGGTGGCTTGTACATGTACCTGTTTAAATACATATTGTTCCATTATACAAAGCATGACATTCTATTATTCTACACATAAAACCAACAACATCAGTTTTATTCACCCTACCACTGTAGGTTCGGGGAGAGAACAATCCTGCTGCATCCCACTACATGTTATAAACGGCGACTAATCTGGTCATTGAACACAGAACTAAATCGATCCGCTGCTTGGACATACCCAATCCTGATCAATGATACTTTATAGTTCCTTTCCTGACTAACTTCCAGCGCTAAGGGTAATGACAATAACAAGGCTACACGTTGTCAGTTTAATGTGATCGGGTGGAATACTGTGCTGGTTGCCTTTGATATGGTATTTCAGAGAGGAAGAACTCTAAAGTTGGCATCAGATCTGCTATTCGAATAAGGCTTATACACCAACATATCCGGCCTCAAGCACGCTTACATTACACACAGGAGACACAGGACCTTAAACAATATCAAACAAAACGTATGCACCAGTATTACATACTTAACTACTAACCCACTTAACTACGCTACGACAAAACCTTCGCTTGAAGTTGGGGCTTCCACTAAAATTAATAACATTTACTGACTTTTTTCATTTGTGAAAAACTACAATAGTGAGGTAAACTGATCTTCTAATTATAACTGCGTTCCCGAAGCTTACTTCAAATCTTCATTTTAATGAAATATGTATTTATTATGTCAAAATGGAAAATAGAAACATTTTAATTTGGTAAGTTCATTTCGTGCACATTAGAAAACAAATAATTTTTGTTTTAATCTCCTTTGACAAATGAATGAGTTCGTATATTAATAAACATATATATGGCTTATGTTCAGCTTATGCATGAGATTAAACAACCATTGACCTTATAATACAATTAAATACACGATTGAAAGAGTGCAAAACATTCCAAATTAAACGTTAGTAATTTCATTATGTCAACACTGATGACAGAATACATACTGCTTATTTCTGAGTACGGACAGCCCTGAACCCCCAGTCTCATTGATCCATGGGTATGGATAGAGACGGATATAACCCGGATGTACTTGGCCACGACAGTCCCTTCTAGTTGGTTACGGCTGTATTGCTGTCGAAGTTTCCGGAAAACACCTTTATAAAGAAGGGAGGATACTTAATCATATATTATTAATATTAATAATGTAAGCCCATGATTACGCATAATTCTACCACATCCTCGATGTTACGGAACTTTTCATTGGTTAATAGTAATGTTTTGTTGGACGATAGACCATGCGATTGCCTATGTTATTTTCCAACAGACCAACACTCTTCAAAAAATTCCCCTCGCAAATCTAAACAAATGGGCAACTGAAATGGTTTCCTTTTTTCGAATGAAGGTACCCACATTTAATTTTACATGTAATTAATTTGTTAACTATTTTTAAATTCTGAGATCTTATTATTTTATTTGAGAACAACCCAGCATATTTCAGTGCTAGAAGATTGGATCAAATGCACTGTTATTTTTATTTTCTATATATCATTATTAGTTCAGTGGGCCTCCTGTTAAGACAGAAGCAGATCAATAACATGACATCGCAAAATAGAGATCAATGTACTTGCCAATACCCTTTATGCACGTCGCTGATACAATATAATCCTACACAATTAGTGAAAAATGAATAAAATACAACAGAAAACCAAGACTATATACTACACCGCTTCAACTTTACCGCGATAGGAAGTTAAAGTTTTTCCGAGCATGCGCAGAAATAGGTACGAAACTGTTCATAAAATGATATTACAGAGGTGCAATGTGCCACATTCCAATATTCTATGTTTTTTACTTCCAGTCAAACAGCGGTACTTCCGGCCAGACCAGTTTTTTTTTTATGTTAAATGCTTGATTCAAACAGAATAAAATTATTGTACAATATAGGCCTAACGGTCTTTGGTTTTTGCTCACACAAACGGTGAAAAGTACACAAAAACGACGACATGATTAAATATCATGAAGAGAAATATATTTATATTTGCAATCTAAAAAAATAAAATAAAAAAATAAGTCATTTTTATTCATCAATTGTTACCAGGGACAGACTACGTCTCTGTCGTTACCGATCTCCGCTCCATCATTATCTTTTTTTATTTCAAAAAGGAGATTCAGTAGGCAGTCGTTAAATTACAAAATTGGGTGAAAATATGATTCTCTTTCAATTAAATTAAAAAATAAGGCAGGAGAAACCTAAGTTGCTTTTCTGACATATATATAATTATATCCTCGGGTTACCGGTTTCCGCGCACTTAAGAAGCATCCGTGATTTCGTACTCATATCGGCAGAAAACTGTTGAAATTACGGAAGACTGTCATAAACATTATATACAATCTACTAAAGGAAACAAAAAAAATAGCAACGTAAAACTGTATTTAAAAAAAATCAGAACAAACAATTTTTAGCAAATTTCTCCCATCGGAAGTAACCGTTATATGTTTCCGTGTGTCTACTTTGATTTAGTGTTCAAAGAAAGATAACTCGAATACACTAAAAAGAAATTCTCTACAGTGACCTGCAAGAACAAAAGCTTCGTTTGGAATAAAAAATATATCTTTGATTGTCAAATTAATTATCAAAAAATCTTTTTTTAAATTTCACATTTTTAATTGATTTTTTCAAGATGTCAAATTGAACGAATTCATGTAATTTTATAAATTTATTTATTATATTTATTTAGATATAATATAGAATCTGTTATTATTATTTTTTCTGCAGTTTTATATCGGTTTTGGTTGATGGTAAGTTATTTCTCATTTTGTTCTGTTTAAAATTTGGTTAAAATTGTAAGTTCATTGCATTACAAGGTTTACGTTTTATTGAAAACACTGTTTATCGATATAAGAATGTCTCCTTGGCTCTTCGGAAGTGGAAAAAAATCGGCGAGGAGATGTGGCCTCATTTGCATACGACATTTTCGTGCGTTTGTCAGACTACAAAAAAGACCGGTTCATGAATGAAATATATCACCGTTTTTTCAGGTATGAGTTCATTTTGAGCAAGATAAAAAGTGCATTAAGCAAAACTGCATATTTATGCGTGTTTTTTTAATCGGTGATTATTTCTCATGTTTTCTGGACTAACTTCCGGTAATTTTTAAGTCAGTTTACAGACGATTGCCAAACGTCTAAAATATCCTTGTGTTGTGTCCAGCAGGTCACGTAGTTACGAGATATAGCTTGATAAAATGGCTGCGCGGAAATACATAACGCGCGGAAACTGGTGACTAGACGATATATTATAGTTAGGCTACATTCGCGTATCCCGGTTGAAACGGTACGTGTGGCGCAGAAATTTTCCACGATAAACGAACACACTTGGACCGTTCTATAAGCAGAGCTAAAAATCCACAGTTTCGGAGAATAAAAAACAATGTATCAAGAATAGTATATCCTTCTCTCACGCGTCCGCTAAATTACATAACGTATCTTAAAAATTACATGTGACTTGACATTGTTTAAGAAATAAATAACGCAAATTGGCAATAGTCAGCATTTTGGTTTCGGTCAGGTACGTCTGGACAGAGACGTATATAACTTTATATGGCTTTATACGTCTCTGGTCTGGACCCCTCAATCTACACGTACTAAATTTTCCTGAGGTCAGCCTCAGTCCAACCGGTTCAACCGTTTCAACCGGATACGCGAATTTAGCCTTATAGTCTAAGTAATTCGGACTATTGGTCCGGGATCCCGTTTGTCATTTACGTACAGCAACTCAACATCCGGTCAAATTCGTACCGGTGCCCTCAACTTAAGGCTCAAGAATGATAAGGCCAGGATTTTTGCAGTTTGACATGTGAAGTGAGTAGTAGCTACAGTTGATATATCGAACACAGATTTTCCTGTTAGAGTTTAGAGCAACATGATTTATTTAAAACAATGGTTGAGTTACAGTAACTATTTCGCCGACTTCACTTAGCACGAAAATCATCTCGACAGAACATTCCTCTATCTGTCTATTGTGAATCGCTTTAACGTGTCGTTAATTTACTAACAAGCAACTCACAAGATGTGGCTGTAGTGGATGCTGTTGTCAGTTCCTTTTTTATTTATTATGGCCGCGAATTAGGGTCCAACACGCGTACGGACATCAATATGAATATATATATCAGTTTACTCATTAAAATGTTACATATCAATCATGTTCTTTTTATAATATATATCCTGAGGGCACACAAGTGTTGTGAAAGCGTAAAAAAGTTCTTCTTTTAGCGTAATTGTCAGCAGGTAACTAACTTTTGTTGTTTAACAGGACTGTGCGTTTTTTTATTTTTCAAATATCAAGCTGAAATTTGGAATATATATCAATAAAAGTCTAACTAATAACATATCTTCTGATGTAGCTAACTTTAGCGAGTAATTGTAACGATATTATCTGGCGACGCTTTCTTCGCTTTACATGCGAATACACACATGAGCCACGCCGCGATCGTAAAAATTCCTCGTGGAATTGGGTCATTTTATCGAATATCGAGCTGAAATTTGTTACAGAGGTGTATTATAGTCATATTAACAACATATCTTCTGATGTCGCTTACTTTATTCGGTATTTTAAAAGATTTTGTCTGGCGACGCTTGTTGTCACTTGAAGACGCTTGTTGTCGGTTGAAGACGCTTGTTGTCGGTTGAAGACGCTTTTAAGAAGGACCCGAAAAATTCAAATAAATAAATTCAACATAAATTTGCTTACCCTGCATGTAGTGATGAGGACATACAACAATGCAATAATGACGATCCAAAGAGATCAATCTGACGCCTTCAAATTATAGAGCTGGAGTGAAGTAAAGATAGACAGACATGTTAGCGAAGAAAAGCTTTGCACATATGTCTTACGTCAGTATCCAGTTGTCATTGCATTTCATACACTGAAAACGAAAGTAAAAAACATATGTATGAAAACCAACTGGATACAGATTTTCCAGAATCTGCACACAATAGATAAGTAGACACAAATATTCTATTTACAATTCTTGTATTTTGTTTTATATACTTTATGTATCACAAATTACATGGCTTCTATAACTGGATGGACAAAGTTGTAGTATGTATTGGCCCTCACAATACTCAATAGCATTAGTAATCATTGTCAAATGATATGGGTATGACATTGCTTTATTGGAAATTTTACTGTGACACTTATATGATGTGATTTTGACATTTTACTGTATTACATATATTTGCAGAAAATCCCATGGAAATATCAGGTGTACAATGTCATTATCTGCGAATGTGATGAACAGTTGACAAACTGAGGAAAAATGGCAGCGGCACCGGTCAGTCTGATGACCAGGATCGGTAGGAGGGTGTTCACTCTGGTCAAGTTTGGCTGTATTCTACACTGCATGACAGAATATGTGGGAACATTTGCAGTGGTAAGTAGTGCTGAGTATTTCCAGCTAGCTTACGATACCATAAATATCATTATATGAAGGCCACAATTTACATTGATACATTCACGATTTGTCGAGCAGTGGGAGCCATTTTGGCAACATGTGTACAGAAAGTACGGGAGAAGGAGTGTGAATTGATTCTATGCTAGATGAAGGCTTCAAAAACTTCAGGGTCAGGGTTGCATAAAAGGGCAACATGCGTTGCTCCGTGATTGCATTGATGTTCTGTTTTTGCACAAACAATTAATTTGACATTTTCAATAAATACCTGGTATTTTTTGTCCTATCTCCGGCAGATTTTTATGTCCAGTAACAACCGTAAAACCTTTTACAAGTCAATGTTTCTGATGAAACACTTTGATGTCCTGCATATTATTTTGATATTTGTCCTTAGCTTAGTATGTTTATATATAAACCAGTCATACATATTTTGTTTTTGGTGAAAAGAAGAAATATCGCATATTGAACAATGCCGAAATGACGCTCACAACATGTTGTGACACGACTGTGACATCACTGTTATCACGCATCATGCTAGTGTTGACAATACATTCACTGAAGCCAACATAAATTTTTTGCAGCTATACAACATTATTTAGAATATTTTGGTTTTGTTTAATCTTATCCCTACAGTTCAGTGCATGTTTTTGCTTTGTAACTACATTTTAGGCATCGACACATAATTGATATCTTTGCTGTAGTGTATGTATTTCATACATTTATGCTATTTTTTAAAAAGTTCTTTCCACTCATTTTTATATCGTGGGGTTTTGGTACCCCCAATGTTTGCAAAATGGGGGCACACCAGCAGATTTTGGGGGTACAGGTATACATTATCTGGGGGGTACAACAATTTGTTGTCTTAAATTATGTACTCATGAAATAAAAACAATGAGAATTATCATATTCAGCATTTGTTTTCATTTTGTGATCGATATTTAAAAAAAAGAATTCATTATTTATTGATAATGAAACATTGCAGAGATGACTGCATGCATATCAAGATCCATTCTGTATAATGTCACCTATGTTGATCGTTAACGTATTTCTCGTTTTGCTTACAGAGTAAGCGGTTTTAATACACTGATGACGTAACAGCGCTGATGTTTGTTAATTTGTCTATTAAGTGATGAGATGACGCTATAAATTTCTTTGTGATAACTGTATTCCGACTGATTATCTAGCCTCAAACAATCAAATTCCTCATGCCATTTGGTTTAAAATCTTTTAATATTTTTACGTTTTGCATTGGCAAGTTTCCAGAGTGACGATTCCTCCAGGCTTACATTTATTAGCGCCGTCCGTTTTCTTTACCATGGCGTCGGAGTTAGGGCAGACTAAAAAAAAACCAATTGGAGAACCCCACAACTTTCATTTTTGACTTCGACTAGTTTATCGCCTTTTGTAAATAACATTTTGTCGAGGTGGAATATAAAATTATTTTGGGAATATTTTGAATGCGATACACACAACTCCGTACAACCACTGATTTGAAACCTTCTTCTGATTTCTTGAGACAATTGAGCAGATCAATAAAAATGTTTCTGACATTGCTTTTAACAAGTGTTGCTAGATCAATTAAATTCTGAGATGTCCATCATACATGACTCTAGTAATTGAAAACCATTCATTTTGTTTTCCAATTCCTATAAGAAAAGAAACAGATAAGCTATATCTAATATGGGTCTCAAAATCCTCCTCAGACTGTCTTCATTGAAATTGTTATGATTGCCCAGCATGAAAAGTCATTATCACTTTTAAACAGACTGATTTTCATATCAATAAAGGAATGACCATTGAAAGAACGGAATGGAGTAATTACAGAAACAAAAAAATGTATGAACTTTGTTTGTTAGAGTTTTGAATCATCTCAAAAGCTAAGTAAAGAAAGATGAAGGAAAAAATAGAGAGCGGTCCAAAATATCCCAATATGGTCAGAAGATAGGATTTGGTTAATCATCCCATCATGCAGATGATATTATGATGAGTGATATATTATCGCCAATATTTAATTTGCAAGAGTTTCTAAGAACCAGGGCAGATCCAGTGCAGGAGGGTTCAATATGGGGTTAGGGACAAGGGGCCAGGGCAGATCCAGTGCAGGAGGATTCAATATGGGGTTAGGGACAAGGAGCCAGGGTAGATCCAGTGTGGGAGGATTCAATATAGGATTAGGGACAAGGAGCCAGTGCAGATTCAGTGCGGGAGGGTTCAATAAGGGGTTAGGGACAAGGAGCCAGGGCAGATCCAGTGCGGGAGGGTTCAATATGAGGTTAGGGACAAGGAGCCAGGGCAGATCCAGTGCAGGAGGGTTCAATATGGGGTTAGGGACAAGGAGCAAATATTTATAATTGTGAGGATCTTAGCAGTAAACATAAAAGCTAAGTATTGACTTCCCTATTGCTATAGTATAAAATATTTTTGATATATCAATTTGGGGCAGGTTCGGCCCATGACACTGGTGCAGGTACAGCCTGTGAGATACATGGGAAGCTGTGAAATGTGACGTTGAATGCATTATGACGTCATTATTATGCTGATTCCAACATGGGCTGAACTTACCCGAGGGCCGGGCACATTCGGCCATCCAATAATCCCACATAAAAAATCTTCAAATACTGACGCTTTTACCCTTATATTATTATATCTTGAAAAGCATGGAATTACTCTTTCAAATACAGAATAATTTAAACAAATGACATATTGTCCAGAGCTACTTAAATAAAAATGATCCTAACTTGCTCCTGTCCCAATATGGGGACATATATTTTGAAATAAAATCCCAGGGGAGGAATGGGGGGTCCTTAGCTTCAAACCAACCCCCACCCCATGCGAATAAAATGGCACATCCGTTGAATTATGTGAGGATTGGATATTTATTACTCTACTGATCAGTACATAAAATGTAACGGTTAAATTATGTAGGAAACAGTAATTTAATGTGTATGTGTGCCCGTGTCTCACCTATTTCATATTATCATTATATGTATCGCAAAGCTCTAATAGAATAATTAAAAGAGTCTTGGTTAGGGGATGTAACTCTTCCGAGTCAAAATTTTAGGCAACGGACCACCAATGTTATATAGTACCACAATACAGGAGTTGTGATACATTTACAATGCATGTATTGTCATGTAAGTTATTGATGGTATCAATAGTATTGATGTATCGTTACAGCTCTAGTGGTAAGTAAAGTATTGAAGTACAAGTAGATGTGAACCAACTCATATGCATACATACTTGCCAACCTTTTGAACTTTCCAAGGGGAAATTCCACATGCTTAAAATTAAATACGTAAACAAAATATTTGTATATACCCCTAGGTAAAAATTGGCAATTTCTTTCCATACTTAATGAGGCTGTTGCATTGGCTGATTGGTGTCCGTGTGATGTCTTCTCAAGGAATCCTCTAATTTCGATCAAACTTTTGTTTGGTATACTATTTATCCTGGATTTTTACTTGCATTCGATGTTGGATAAAATTCGCACATATTTGATGAGGCTGCTGCAATCTGATTGGCTAAATATTTTCGATGAAGGAATGATTGGATGTTGATCAAACATGACTAGTATACTAGTTACCCAAGCTTTTGCTTAAGTTATCAAGTTGGCAAATGATTTTGATCAGACTTGCTTGATGTAACTAACCAAAGTCTGTCACTTAGGTTCAATGCTTAGCAAATTCTGTACTTATTTAATGAGGCTAAAATTCTGCACTTATTTAATGAGGCTTTTAAATTCTGACTGGCTGATGGTGCGATATCTTGTAACAGAATGATCAGAATTTTATTGAACCTGAAAAAGAATTGAAATATTGTTGACCTTCTCATCAATTTATTTGTGGTGCTAAACCGGATAGGATGGCGCTATTCGTGGGGTAATAAAACATCTCACTGTTGGTTTTTGTACCCAGTTCAAGAACTTCAGACTGGTTAACTTAATTGACCACACTAAAAATATCAAAAAAATATCTACTATAACAACAATATATCAAGCAAAACATAAAAATAAATTTGTTTGGTCAACTCACTTTTATCTTCTACAAAGTGACACGTACAAAACCTTTGATTTTATCATGACACATTCAAAGTGTGTAGAGAACAAATGTATTTCAGAAACAGAACCCTTGAAGTTTGAAGATATACCATGCAGGTTATAACTTATTTACGTCATATGTATGTATATTCCAGTGTCATGGGATTTCTATGCAGCCGACCTTACATTCTGGGGATATCATCCTTGGTGATCGTTTAGCCATTACAAGACGAAAGTTAGAAAAGTAAGTATAAATTTCGGAGGTAAAATATTTAGTCTATAATGTAGTATACAAGCCTAGGGCTTTGATGATGATAGTACAATGTACAAGAACTTAACTCAGTGTCTCTGGTGTAATTAAAAACATTGAATTCATATCGCAAAGAAAACCTCGAACTTATTTCCCAATGTGATCATGCTCAGCATTACTTGGGACTATAAAGCTTGTCAATACCTTTTATTAACCTGTGTCTCTAGAAACCTTGTATGTAAGTTTACCTGTAAGCAGTCAACATCTATTACGAAAATGGTGAAATTCATATCAAGTTTTTGAAAACCTAATCAACGGCAATGTAGAAAACATAAATTTGGGAAAGCAGGGATGCTACTATCAAGAAATGGAAAGTTCACAATAAGGGATCTGATACTATTACTAGTACTATAATCAAGCTTTATGTGACATCATCACAGGTCAGAGTCGTAGTATAACTATTTTCTGCCCTATATAGGTTATATGACAGTGATCTACCATATTTTGTGTATTACAGTGGTGAGATTGTGCTGTGTAAGTCACCAGAGGATCCATTCATGTACGTCTGTAAGCGTGTAGTAGCTATGGAGGGTGAAAGAGTCTTTAACAAGGGATGGTACACGAAAGTAAGTTACATATGTGCAGTCCTGAACATACATAGAAGAAAGGAAGGTGGTGGGGAAATAGACTGAACATTTCTGATTTATAGCTCCTATGTAGGAGTATGTGGCCAGGCTTAGTTATGTGCTAAAAGTGTTTTATGCATTGTAATTAAAGAACTCTTCATACACTGCACAAGGAAATATTTGTGTCACTTGGAAAACTAAATAGCATGATGTGTATACTTATTATTGTTGTAAGTTTTAATAAATTTTTTTTTATGAATTTTTGTTCATATAACTCAATAGTTTGTTTGAGGAATTTTGAGATATCTTAACTTAAAGGGAATTTAATTTTGACCTTTGTTCCTTTGACTTGGCCATGTGAAGAAGAAATAAGAAATATACAGAGATATTAGATAAATTAAGCTGTATGTTTTTGTGCAGTTATTGCTGATAAATGAACGCTTATTTCAGATTCCAAAGGGTCATGTGTGGCTTGAAGGAGACAACAGAGATTTTTCCCATGACTCTCGCAGCTTTGGTCCTGTTCCCTATGCCTTAGTGTATACAAAGGTATTTTACAGGGTAAGTAATTATACCCTGTTAGTGAAGTGGAAGGTATAACGTGTCTGTCCTCTTCTGTCTGTCTGTCTGTCACACTCCTTATGATCACTATTACAGCCATATTTCTTCACATACTTTGGTGTAACTTCAAAGAGATGTCTATCCTGGACATTAGTTTTATGATGATTGAATATGCGAGTGATAGGTCAAAGGTCAAGGTCACTTACTCAAGTACTGAAACAGAAAATTACAAAATCACATTCATTATGTGTCCTAAAAGATAAACTTCACACTTATATATAGAAACCTTGGGTATACCTTGGATAAGTTTAAAATAGTGATAAGTTACAGGTCAAGGTCACTTTTTCAAAAGATAAAATTTCACAATACTATGAATCCAGTGTAGGTGTGGGCGAGTACAAAAATTATTTCAGAGGCCCAAAATGAATATTGGTAGCCCAATCATTTTACTAAGATTTTTTTCAGTCTTGAGCAATAAAAAATGGCAATAAAGCAATATAAATAGATGTTCTTTATTCTTCAATCAAACCCTCCCGACACATAACCCTAAAAACCCTCCCCTCATTCCCATAGTCTTCATTGTCACTGAATTCACCTGGTAGGAATTTACAACTGCAGACGACTTTGTTATATTTAGATAAAAAAAGTCACGTGACCCCCCCTGACGATCAGCTGGCGATTTTGGGGCGACTTAGAGTTCATTACCTGATATATCCAGCGTACAGGACAGCTAAGTCTTGAAATTTTGCTTATATGGTTAAAAATACAGCTTCTTTGGATTGTGTGTGAAAAAAACACGATAATTTGTGTGACATCGCACGATACACGGTCTTTGGCAAGAATTGGTACTTGGCGAGAATTGGTCGGCAACCAGAACTGGTGATACGGCAGACCAACAACATACAATAGTAACTTGCAGCGAAGAAAACTTACGACTTATAAATATACATAAGTTAACTTACTTAAATCCTCAGCCCTTGTTTGTATCTGCCATGTTGACTGTCTGTGTCAATTCTGATGCACTTGCACGTTTTAACTGCTTGACCCAGAGTACATGATTTCCGTAAATGGGTGTTCCGAAGTTGGGGTGGTTAATTTATGGGAATAAACTACGATTTTGAGAATAATAATGTACTCGCCCAATGATTTATTTTTGGGCCAGTAACTATCCATCTTTTGACAATTTCTAGTCGCCCAATCAAGGTTTTGGTCGCCATTGGCGACCAGGCGACTGGCTGTGTCCTACGTTGTGAACCAAGCAAGGGCAGAAGGTATCATGAGTCTTGCTCGCTTTTCTTGTTCCAAGTGTGATAGGGTTCTCAGAAAATGAAGTACAAATCACTGTCAAACTTTCTTAAATATCTCCTAGTTCTTTCTTCTGTTGTTTTGCATATTTCAATTTTAGCCTGTAAAAAAAAAGAAATGCCAGGAATCAAAATTGTTTATATATTTGAGATTTTGATTCTAGTCAACATCACAAAAGATGGCCTCATATTTAAAGGTTATTGTCAAAGAGTGATGTATGAAATGTTGATCAAAAGGTACCACACAATCCAGTTATTGTTGTCATAATAACCAATCAACAGAGAAGACAAGAGAAAATATCAAAATTACATAAAACTAATGGATATTTGTCTATAACCTACTTCAGGTATCATAGATGTACTATGTTTGCCAACAGTATTGCATAACATGTCAACAGTACAGGCCTATGGGACCTCTTGTGGAAGTTTTATTTTTCTCTTTTATAAAGAAATTTTCAAATGTACTTCATTCAAAATTGAAAATCACAAAGTATTTGTAAATATTTGACCATCACAGTGTTCTTCTGTTGTCAGATTTGGCCTCCAAACCAGGTTGGTTCTCTATCCGACAAATCAAGACACATATGATTACCACTGCAGCCAGATCAGTCTGACTACCTCTAATGTATACCCTTCAAGAGCTGAATATTGATAACACTAGCTGATGACCAAACAGGGCTGATTACCTCCACTGCCTTTTGAAAGACAATTACTCATTGATACCATATATATAACATATATATTGGTGGGTAATAGAGAGAAAAAAATATCATCAATGTACATTTGAAGACATCTGAATATTCCTGTTGTTTCTTCAATTAAACCTGCAACAAATCCACAGAAATGACAATGAGCATACTCTAGAGAAGTCACCTACAGGCAGTTTCTTTATCGTGGCATCGTGTTGTCTGGGAATCACCTTGGTGACATCATGTTGTCTGCAGGTCACTATAGTGACACAATATTGTCTGGGATTCACCCATCTTCGCTAGCCAAGTGTTCGCTTCGTATAACCTTTTGATTACCCTTGGCTGAAAAAGCTGTGTTTTCCGAGCCTTTAAATTATCGCGCGGCGCCAATCGCTTGCATCCAATGAAATTACATCTTACATATAGCGCTGTTGACCTTTGTCAACAGTAATGGCGACGCCCTGTATGGAATCACATTGTTTATTTCAGAGTGTTTTGCCCCAAAAAAGTAGGCGCACAATCTTTGGGGACATTTTTGGAGTGTTAAATCAGTTGGTGGAAATACTTGACTACGAAGTGCCACATGTAAATGATGACCTGGGAAAATATGTGTGCTGCCATTGTTGGAACAAACTCAACAAGCTTTCTGAAATGAAGCATGACATTTTGGCCAAACTTGAGGCATTAAAAACAGAATGGCAAACCTTGATTGGAAATTTAAAGTAAGCTCACAGATCAGGACTATCAGGTGGACAAAGTGTGAACGTAGCGGTAACACCAAAATAAAAAAAGCATGCTATGATTCAATCCCAACTCCCCAGAAAATTACACATACACGTGCTTATGTCAACACCACCGATGGAGTGAGCGTGTATGTAACAGTCATTGTGATTGGTTAAAAGGTTTTTGATAGAAGAGCAATAACTCGGTATATCCGCTAGGTAGCAGTGGAGGGAGTTACGAAAACACGCCTATATCTGCCAAGGGTAACTGGAGTGTATACGAAGCAAACACTTGGCTAGCGAAGATGGGATTCACCATGGTGACATCATGTTGTCTGGGATTCACCATGGTGACATCATGTTGTCTGGGAGTCATCATGGTGACATCATGTTGTCTGGGAGTCACCATGGTGACATCATGTTGTCTGAGGATCATCCATCTTTGATACTCCAGTGGTTATGCTCACATTCACTCTCTGCACCAAGGCAAATATCTAGCAAGCTGATTGGTCTCAGGTTAAATAACCTGACTAATCGCTAGGCTGACACCTGTCTTTTGAAGATTACAGACGAGTGGCACCCAACTTCAAAGCCAGCCAATTTTTTTATGGGTATCAAAGGAACAAACTAGTCTTCTCGTCTCATCCAGAAGGTGGGGCACACTGAGCCTTCACTTTTTTCGTTACATATTCCAGGCATGTAGAGAAGGTAGGTGAGTGTTACCTCCGGTATATCAAGGATGGCGATCACCATTTGTGACATCATTTTGTCTGGGAATCCCTATGGTGATGACATGTTGTCCAGGAATCACCATAGTGAACTAATGTCTGGGAATCACCATTGTGACATGTTGTCCGGGAAACACCATTGTGTCATGTTGTCTGGGAACCACCATTGTGTCATATTGTCCGGGAACCACCATTGTGTCATGTGGTCCGGGAACCACCATTGTGTCATGTTGTCCGGGAAACACCATTGTGTCATGTTGTCCGGGAACCACCATTGTGTCATGTTGTCCAGGAATCACCATAGTGAACTAATGTCTGGGAATCACCATTGTGACATGTTGTCCGGGAACCACCATTGTGACATGTTGTGCGGGAACCACCATTGTGACATGTTGTGCGGGAACCACCATTGTGTCATGTTGTCCAGGAATCACCATAGTGAACTAATGTCTGGGAATCACCATTGTGACATGTTGTCCGGGAACCACCATTGTGACATGTTGTGCGGTGAACCACCATTGTGACATGTTGTCCGGTGAACCACCATTGTGACATGTTGTCTGGTGAACCAGCATTGTGACATGTTGTCCGGGAACCACCATTGTGACATCTTGTCCGGGAACCACCATTGTGTCATGTTGTCCGGGGAACCACCATTGTGACATGTTGTGCGGGAACCACCATTGTGACATGTTGTCCGGGAACCACCATTGTGACATCTTGTCCGGGAACCACCATTGTGTCATGTTGTCCGGTGAACCACCATTGTGACATGTTGTGCGGGAACCACCATTTTGACATGTTGTCCGGGAACCACCATTGTGACATGTTGTCCGGGAACCACCATTGTGACATGTTGTGCGGGAACCACCATTGTGACATGTTGTCCGGGAACCACCATTGTGACATGTTGTGCTGGAACCACCATTGTGACATGTTGTGGGGGAACCACCATTGTGACATGTTGTCCGGTGAACCACCATTGTGGCATGTTGTCCGGGAACCACCATTGTGACATGTTGTCCGGGAACCACCATTTTGACATGTTGACTGGGAACCACCATTGTGACATGTTGTCCGGTGAACCACCATTGTGAAATGTTGTGCGGGAACCTCCATTGTGACATGTTGACCGGTGAACCACCATGGTGACATGTTGTCCGGTGAACCACCATTGTGACATGTTGTCCGGGAACCACCATTGTGACATGTTGCCTTGGAATGACCATGTATGTTGACATAATTTTGTTTGGCAATCATTATAGTGACAGCATTAACTACATGCCCCTGGATCATAAAACAAGCTTAATTCTAAAACTGTCTCAAGTTTTGACTTAACCAATCACAAATACTGTTATGAAAAATGATGTCATACGTGATTGGCTAAGCAAAAAAATAAGTCCAAGATTTCATGATCCTGGGGCCTGGTTTATAAAATAGATTGATTGTAATGTTGAGTGTGCGGAAATGTTTGGTATGCATGATTTTGACTTATTAAACAATTAAGATAAACATTTCATATATACCTTTTGTTTTTAGAAATAAATGTTTTTGACTATCTATGCTTTTATTTAGTGATCTATGGTTATCACAGTCATTTGTCATCAACCTAATATTTCTTTAAACTTCAGATAATCTTCAAAGATCCAAACGCACCAGATATGGTATATCAGTTGCTTTCTTGTAAAATAGTTATTATTGACATTTGTGACCATATTATATGTGTGGCACGATGAATCAATGTTACATATCAGTAATTATAGCATGTAAATATGTTATTCAACACTACATACTCATCATGTAAAATTATATGTGGTATTTTATTGATTTGCCTATTGAGAACAAATGAATATTTATCTTTAAGAAATTTAAACCGATTATTGTGTAGGCATATAACATATCTGTTCTGTGATATAAGAAGTTATGAGGAACTAGACAAAGTTGATCACTGGCGATCATGTGTCCGTCTAGAGTCTGAGGGTTCTGGGTTTGAATCCCAGTCTGGCATGGCTGTGCATTTCTCTCCTGCTACTTTTGGCACCCAACAAAGTTTACCAACATAAGACGGTATAAAATCTGGTGTATCTTCAGCATCAAAGACTTTGTATTAGGAGGAAGGGATGTAGCGGAACTAGACTCGGTTTTTCGCCGACGACCAGATAGTTCAATTGGTTTGAGCGTCTGTTTAATAGTTCAAATCCTGGTCTGGCTGTGCAATCTTTCTTTTGTCACAGAAGTAAAATATCAAGAATTCAGGTATCTAAGATGGCTTTAAGGTGTACATAAGGTTTTTAAGTTATTACAAATATCTTCATATTGTAATTGTTTTTTAAATTTCCAAAAATAAACATTTTCATGTAGAGCCGTTTGCATTCATTATGTTTGGTATAGTTTATAAATTTATGTTGGTGTTGCTAAATTATATGAAATGAATCGGATGTAAAGGTACAGGTCTGATGCGTTTCTTCCTTATCAACAAAGATGGCTCCTGCGAAAAAGATGACTTACACAAACATAATATCATATCTAATTGGTTTAATTTTGTTTAACATCTATTAACAGCTAAGGTCAATTAGGGACGTGCCTCCATGTGTGTAGTGTATGCGTGCTTGGGTGTGTGTATGCAGGAGACGGGGAATGTTAGTGTGCTTGCCTCCTTGTGATAGCGCGGATCTGATGCCGACTTTATAGTGCTATCTCACTGAGATGCCATGCCGAAGGCACCAAGCACAGCATTCCGCCCGGTCACCTTATACTGACAACGAGTGAACCAGTTGTTGCCATTCCCCTTAATGCTGAACGTTAAGCAGGGAATAACAACTACCATTTTTTAAGGACTTCGGTATGTCCCGACCTGGGAATAGAACCTATTGCCTTCCTCACCTGGGCAAACACTCAACATTAATGCCAAAAGAGAGGTGTTGGCAAGCAAGGCGCTAGGAAATAAAGGTTGAAGTAAAATAACAATAATAATAATAATTTTTGAGGAATTCGCAGGAGCTGCCTTATCAGGCGCTAACTACTAGTCCTATGCCACCTGGCTAATATCTCCCTATGTATGCATGCCTGCATATGTGCTGGAGATGTATTGTGTTCTGTTTGTAGTGGGACCGTGCTTCTAACGGCATCTTTTATAGTGCCATCTCACTTGAATGCTACATCACAGATACCGCAACATCCACCCCAGACCATTTTACACTCCACCTGGGTTGTTGGAGTTGTGTGGGCAGGAGAAACACACTTTCTCTTATATTCCATGCGTGCGACGACTTCGGAGATCGAACCCCGGCCGCCTGCGTGGAAGGCCGAAGTGTTAACCACTCGACTAATCCGCCCACAGTTTGCATACCAAATTGTGTGCAAGATATGTCAGAAATCAGTCTAGAAACTGGGAGAAAATTTGTAACTCGGCGCAAAGAACATTAAAAGTTTGTAGAATGCTAGAATTTGCTTTTGTGACCTCTTCTTTGAGAGATGAAAAAAACACTATATTTTTAGCTCACCTGCCCGAAGGGCAAGTGAGCTTATGCCTTACCCCGGCGTCCGGCGTCAATTTTTCCCTTTAAAAGCCTTTATCTCCTAAACAACTGATTGGATTTTAACTAAATTTGATATGAATCATCCTTGGGACCAGGGGCTCAATGGATTTATGAAATAAGGGTGTGGCCCCCTAGGGGGTTTAGGTAGAGGCCAAAAAGGGGAGAAATTAGAAAAAAATAAAAAATCTTCTTCTCCATATCCAGAAATGCTAAAACAAAATAATACTCATAGTTGTAAATGTCTTTGGATGGTTAATAAAAATTGTGATTTTCATGTCTACCAATTCAAGCCCCCCGTTTGCCCCTGGTGAGGGGGTGAAATTTAGTATAGTTTATATAGGAAATACACATAATAGGCCATATCTTCCAATGTTTGGAGCATTGCTGGTATAATATTTATGAGTCTGATCCCCTAGGGGGCTGAGTTAGGGGCCAAAAAGGGGAGAAATTTGGGAAAATTTAAAAAGTCTTCTTCCTAGTTACAAAAATGCCAGGATCAAATACTACCCATAGCTGTAAAAGCATTTGAGTGGTTTATAAAAAATGTGATTTTCATGTCTACCAGGCCCCTCCATTTGCCCCTGGTGAGGGGGTGAAATTAAGTATAGTTTATATAGAAAATATACATAATAGGCCATATCTTCCAATGTTTGGAACGGAGTTTGCTCATATTTGACAGAAATACTTGTAAGGGGAGGAAGGTATGCTGGTATTAATTTTGTGACCCTGACCCCCTAGGGGACTGGGTTTGGGGTGAAAAAGGAGGCATGTTTCAAAAATCTTCTCTTGCAGATCCAGAAATGCTAGTATCAAATACTACTCATAGTTGTAAAGGCCTTCGAGTGGTTTATATACTTTGTGATTTTCATGTGCCCAATGTCCCTTGTTTGGCTTTGGAGAGGGGGTAAAGTTTGGTATTTTTTATATAGACAATTTGACAAATGAACAGCCATCACATACTTTTTATCTCCAACCCAACTAATGTGCTAGTAATAGTAACAACCTTAATTCTTAATGAATTATAAAGTCTCCATAGTAACGCTTCCAAGTTCTTACCCTGCATGTCTGAAGTGGTTACAAATTGGCATTACAGAGCAAATGTAAATATTGTGCCATGATTGCTTAAATAACCAGGTGAGCGATACAGGCCCCCTGGGCCTCTTGTTCATAAACACGATGGTTAGTCTTTATATCAGAATACAATATTTTTGAAATAATAAAGTTTAGGAACTTCTCGCTTTGCGTAAATGAAATAAGACGTCACCTGACATGATAAGTACCCATGGAGTTAACCATTTTTATCAGAATGAAGACGTGCTTTTAGATCACCTGGCCCGAAGGGCCAAGTGAGCTTATGCCGTGGTGCCGGCGTCCATCGTCAATATTTAAACAACTTCTTCTTAATAACCAAAATGTCCAGGGTGATGATATTTTGCCAGTAGCATGCTGGGATAAAGGGCTACTAAGTTTGTTCAAATGAATGACCTTCGTCCATTTTCAAGGTCACAGGGGTCAATTGTCTTAAAAAGTTTTTTAACAACTTCTTCTGAATAATCAAGAGGCCTAGGATAATGATATTTGGCCAGTAACATGTTGGGTTAAAGGGCTACCAAGTTTGTTCTATTGAATGACCTTTGCTTATATTGAAGGTCACAGAGCTCAAATATGGTTAAAACCTTTGAACAACTTCTTCTCAATAACCAGAAGGCCTAGGATGATGCTATTTGGCCAGTAGCATGCTGTGATGAAGGGCTACCAAATTTGTTCTATTGAATGACCTTTGCTTATATTGAAGGTCACAGGGGTCAAATATGATTAAAACCTTTGAACATCTTCTCAATAACCCAAAGTCCTAGGATGATGATATTTGGCCAGTAGCATGCTGGGATAAAGGGCAACCAGGTTTGTTCAAATGAATGAACTTTACATATATTCAAGGTCACAGGGGTCAAATATGTTTAAAATCTTTAAACGACTTCTTCTCAATAAGCAAAAGGCCAAGAGTGAAGATATTTGGTCATTTACATGCTAGGATGAAGGGCTACCAAGTTTGTTAAAATGAATGACCTTCGCCCATATTCAAGGTAAGAGTGGTCAATATATGTTTAAATCTTTAAATGACTTGTTCTGTATAACCAAAAGGTCCAGGATAATGATATTTTGCCAAAAGCATGCTGGGTTGGAAGATTATAAACTCTGTTCACCCTAATGTTCTTGTTAGACATTCAAAGTCACAGGCGTCATATGTTTAAATCTTTTAATAGGTTCTTATGAATCAAACACTGATATTGTGTCTGCAGCTGTATTTTGGTCCATTTTTAAGATTACAAGTGCGAGATTAATACCAGGTGAGCGGTTCAGGCCCATTGGGCCTCTTGTTTTAAAAATGAACTGCGTGTCTTGCAGTTCGCAGCTGTTTAAAAAATATTTCACTTGACAAAATGACCATTGTTGTTTTCCATGAAATAGGTAAATTAAAATTATTTGGACAATATGGGTGCTTGGTGACCAAACTGTATGATTGACTATTGGATGATAACTAAGCAAGATGGGGTTATCTCAGTCGAGGGCTAAGATTCTGTAACATAACCCCTACCGAGGTGTCAGGTAAGTGATTTTTTTTCTCGTACCTTTCAGTTAGAAAAACAATTCAATTTCTCTATTGTCTACAAGTATCGCGCCAGTGACCTCGAATAAACACGGTGTCTTCACTACTAAAGTTACATTTGAACGCTTCCGCTAAAATATTGTAGTGCTTCCTTACAAATACGGAAACGTATTTTTCAGTGTAGATTATATTTTATTTACAACATCAGGAATCGAACAACATCAAAGCATATTACGACAAAACAGATTATTTACATTGTCAAAATCGAGCGGGGAGGCTTACATCGCTCTTACACTTGATAAATGTTACACCCTGATCTTTCTTTATCCCACTGCTTGTTATCCTAAGAGGCAACTCATGTGTCCCTTCACGCAGAACTGTTATCTTTCCTCGTTGTCTTCTGCTTTACATTGAAAATCTAAAATGTTCTTTTCTGTCGTGCCCACTCCTTTATCGGCCCCTAAAGCAACCGTCTCCATATGAACTCAATTGTTGCATGAGCGTTAATTGTACCGTTTAGAAAACAAAGCAAAATTAACAAAATATTTGAAGAACGTAGTGCTCGGTAGATGTAACAAGAAATGCAATGAAACATCTTAGACAAGGAGGTGATAACGTTTCAATATCATAAAATCTGAAAACTGAGTTTGTAAAGTAATTTTATCTTATTTTATCAGATCATGGAGTGCTGAACAAAGGCGTATTGCAAGTGTGTCAAGAAATATACTGTAATGGTAAATAAATAGTGAAAATGGAAAACTAAAAATGTATGCGGTAATTCAATTTGTCCTTTTCTAAGTGTTCAATAAGGTTCCCTATAGTACGGTAAAAACTGCAGCTACGCATTCGAAAAGGTTTTCTATACATAACATAATTGTAATAAATGATTTCAGAAAAGAAGAACGCGAATCGTTCTTTCGGGAGTGCATTTCGAAGTTCCCTGCTCATTCACAGCAAATATTGTATCTCAAATAAATGCAAAATTACTTTTCTATGGATCTCGAGCAACGTTGGAATGAACGGAGCAGCTAAAATGCATTAAACGCGGCACATCGATATCAAACATTTACAGATTTTAAACCCATTTTACGATTGGCTATTCAAAGCGATTGACAGCAACGATAGTCTCTCGATATTGGCAACAACCTTTTTAAAGTGCAACCAAAACTTAAAATTTGTTTGCCCAGTCTAAGACCCCGCTGAGGGGAGGTTGCCCTCTCTTGGATCCGTAC